GTGATTTAAAGCACATAGAAGGATATGTGCTGGTTGGATACAAAGGCCAAGGTCTTTTTATAAATGACTTGAGCATGCCTAGATCTTGCTACATTTATGGAGGAGGCATTTCATCTGGTCTCTGTGTCCAGTCAACACACAACCAGATCATCCAAATTCTTAGGTCAGACTTTCTGATGAAAACGCAGAGGGCTTAGACAAAGCAAGTTACGTTTTAAAAGAATTCTAAAACATGAACTTCTTTTACTTTACAGATCAATAAATAGCTCCTAAAGCAGTGGTTCTCAATCTGTGGGTCAGGACCCCTAAGAGGTGATCAGATCACCCTTTCATAGGGGTTACCTAAGACCAGTGGAAAACACAGATGTATATTATGACTAATAACAGTAACAAAGTTATGAAGTAGCAATGAAAATAATTTTATGGTTGAGGTCACTACAGCATGAGGAACGGTATTAAAGGGTCACTGCATTAGGAAGGTTAAGAACCACTATCCACTATCAGAGACAGGGTTCCTCTGTGTAGCTTTGTAGACCAGGCTAGTCTCGAACTCACAGAGATCTGCCTGCCTCTGGGATTAAAGGCGTGCGCCACCACTGCCCAGCCTGAGAACCACTGTCTTAAAATGTTTCCCAAACATATTATGCCAGTGGCCATGTCAGAGGAGCAGCAGTTGGCAATTGAGGTCCGAGGTGTCAGCCCACCAGGAGGCAACTCTCTGGTGGGTGAATCTCATTTAGGAAAGGCCATGGGAATACAGACCCGAAGATGACTTTTGCTTCTGCTGTACTTTTACGTGCTTGGTACGGTAATATTCCTCTGGTATCTAGCTAGCATGGTGTGAGTGGGTGTGTATATAGTATGTATATCTCTTGTAAACATCCCATTCTACTGCACATTTTGACCTGTGGATTGTCAAGATGATCCCTCCCTAATCTTTACTGTCTAAATTGATAATAATAATAATAATAATAGCTTATACAGAGTTTTGATGAATAATAATAAATACAAAGATATGTTCCACAGCCAGGGCCTGTGTCTTTCACCTAAGGGGATGCACAGCTCAAATTATTATGAGTAAGAAAAAAATAACTGAGTCCCACTGGTCCAGCTAGTTTAAATTCTTTTAACCTTAATGTTGGAAGATGTGTTTGCAAGTTTCATAGTGCATCACAGTTTAAACAAAGCTTTGAAAACAATAAAGTTAGACTAAGATGTTTTAATTAAATACACTTTAGGTGAAAAAAAACCAAAAAGACAATCTAAAGTTTCAGAAAGGCACACAGTTGAATGAGGAGCTCGCTAAGCTCAGTGAACAGGAAGGAACAAAGCAACAAATTGTCATTGGCTGATGTACCTTTCTTGCTAGGACTGGTTAATGACCAAAGGTGATGATTAATTAATTCCTTACACCTATTTCTGTCCTCAGTATCCTGCCATAAAAAAAACTATTGATGAGTGGGCATGTACCCAAAAAGATTTAAAGTAGAGGTGAGTGATTCTTTTTCATATATGAAAGTTTAGGTTTGCGATTCCTTATAAGATTACCTTTCAAGGTAAGTAATAAAGTAATTGGTCCTTTCTGTGTAACTGTAAAATGCAGCCTACCAATAAAGACCTGACAAGAATAGCTTGCTTGCCCACACAGTTAATCTTAATCTATAACAAGTTGCTTGGGTATGAACATATGTGAGTTTTTTGGATAATTTGTTTTTCACCTGTAGTATATAAAATGTTTAATTGTGTAAGAGATATGGAAAACATGCTGTTTTTTACTGTTTACATTCATCATAGTCATTCATTTGAAAAACAGAATGTAACCACATTGTAATTTCTATATTGTCTGAAAAACTTGTTAGGAGATATAAGCTGTAGAAAAAAAAGTATATAGAAGAAAGAAACAACATGAGAGAACAAAGAATACAGAAGAGCTTCCATCAAGAGAGTGTGTGAGTGTTATTTCCCAAACTCCCCTCAGACAGAAAAGTCTAGCTTATGCTGACTCCGCATTGCTGGAAACCACCCCCCAGCAGTAATATTATTTGTTTTGGTTTGGTTAATTTATGAAACTAGGCCTCACTGTACAGTCCAAGCTAGTCTTGAACTCATACATCCACATCTCAGCCTCTGAAGAGCCCCATACCCAGTTCTCTTCAACCGTACAACTCTATCAGCCAAAGCTGGGACAAGAAAAGAGTCAGTGAGGTGTCTCTTTAGACTGCATGATTTGTTTTAAATCTATTAGTATTTAAATAATTTAAGTGCCAACTACTTTATTTGTCCCCTTTACACATACAAACAGAAATGTCTAAAAGGAGGGACAGGTCTAAGAACAACAAACTTAGTAATTCTCAAATTACACAGACATTGAATCATTGATGTATGGATATATGATAAGCTTTCTTAGTGGAGTTATGTGGTATATAATGAAGACTATTAACGTTAACACTAAAAACATCAACCCTGTAAGGGCTCTTAAGCACTTACAGAAAGTTATTTGATAGGCACCATTCTTCCATAACAAAATCTTAATACATAATTTTATAGTCAAGTTCTAAGTTTAAGAGATGAAACATGTGTTATTTTCTCACCATGATTACAAAGTCCAGGAAATTCTGGAGAAATTGGAGGTTACCAAACTCACACTCCCCCTTTAGACACAGTGGAGCCATATATTAAAAACATAACATTTTTCATAAAATTCTCCACTTAGATATGGCTTCCCTGCTAGAGAGGATTATTGATATAGACCTAATTTAGAAATTCCAATCATATATAAATAATCTAGTGAGAAAAAACACTAAATAGAGATGATAATATCTTCCCTGTAAAATATTAAAATTGACTTCCACAACAGTATGAAAACTGACAAGACATGAAAACCCAAATAACTACAGTCAACCTTTTCTACACTGTAGAAACCTTTCTACAAGTGAAATTTCAGTACATAACAGAAATAAAATCAGAACTACCATGTTTGAAAGGTAAGAAAGGGGCTGCTCCCTCCTTCTCACGTGTCTTCTCTGCCTCCTCCTCTGTTCCCATCTATCCCTCCCATCCCCAGAGCAGTCACAGCAAGTGAAGCCTAGAAGTAGTAAAAGTCCCTTTACCTGGACTTGAAAGTGATATAGTTTTAAAATCATGATGAAATTCACACAACAAAATTCCTATTTAAAAATAAAGAGAATGTAATCAGCTAAAGCTAGAACTTAGGCATGCCATATAATTAGAAATCAGTTGTTTAAAAAGCCACGAATTACTATGATTGAGAAAAGCAGAGAATAAAAGCAAAATATTGTTAAACTTAAAACACTATTCCCACTTAAAAGGGAAAAATGACTCACTAGCCTAATGTCATTCAAAAAGACTGCACAAATCAATGATCTATTCCAAGACTCCCCCCCTCCCCCTCCCACCCCCGAGACAGGGTTTCTCTGTGTAGTCCTTGCTGTCCTAGAACTCTCTCTGTAGACCAGGCTGGCCTTTAACTCACAGAGATCTACCTGCCTCAGCCTCTGCCCCTCTCTGCCCCTCTCTCTGCCCCTCTCTCTGCCTCTCTGCCCCTCTGCCTCTGCCTCCCAAGAGCTGGAATTAAAGGTGTACACCACCACCACCTGGCTCAAGACTTTAGATGCAGTTTCCTATAATTGGTTTTATCTGAAAACCAGATCAACAAGTGTTCTACAACAAGCAAAGCAGGCCACTTAGCGCTAGTGATAAACACTCATGCTGAAAGCTCATGATTTCTTTACTACTATTTTAAAGTACTCATTGGATTGTACATACATTTTATATATAATGTTCTCTTTAAGACACACAGACACAGCTATTACCACAAATGAAAGCATTAGACAGAGAGTTCACCACCTTTAACAAAATAAGAGACAGTTTAAAAAACACTAATTCTTGAGTTGCTTTAGCTGAAACTTCAATTTAGTAACTGAATATTTAAGTGTCCTGATTTCTTAACCAAATAATCAGTTACTTCAAGCTTTAAAAAAATCACAACTACAGTTAGGAACCAAATAAAAATTACATATTTCTTTGTTTTGCCCATGTGTGACAATTAGATAAACAGTTAACTTAAGAAAGTCAATTTTGTAGCACATTGAGGATTTTTACAATCTAAAACAAAAGTATTCTCTAGGAGTTGGCTTAACTGTTATTATGATATTGGGGGGCAACAGAAAACTAAACACATTCAAATATTTATCGGTTGATTTTGTAATTGTTTATCTAAGATGTATTTCCAATTTTAATTATAAAATGTACTATCATTTTTAGAAATAAAATGGATACATGGATGCATATATTATTTCTATATACATTTCTACCTTAAATGCTTTACACAAGATGTCACTTTTTCTGAGGCATATTTCTCATTCAATGTGAAACAAACTCATACTCTGTGGCAATTGGCTGTTCACTATATAGCTTAAGAAAAAGACGTTAAAACAACAGTTGAACATTAGAACACTAGAGTAGAAAAATTATTTCTGAAACATTATACTTTGACATTTTATATGTTTGTTTTAATCTTAAAACATTTTATTTGTGAGCATCAAAATACTTGAAAAATGCCAAAACATTTATTTATCCTACTTTTCCTCACCAAACAGATTATCCATAATCAGGACATTTCCTTTCATTTCTACCCTCATTAAAGGAGGAAAACAAAGCTTTCCAAATGCAATTGTGTTTTCTTTTTTTGTCAGAATTATTTTCATTATTGACGATTATTTAATAGTTAAACTCACAGTATATAGTTAAAAAAAGAAAACTGAGAAAGTACTCATTTCAAAGACATTTAAACCTTTATGTGCTCAATATTCCTATATTTTCCCTGTGTGCAAAACAATAATCATCATACAAATAAGGCAAATAATGACTTAATCATAAGATTACTCTATGAATATATTTCTTGAAAAGACATGATAAAATTACAGTATGCAATAAAACAGAACTATAAATGCCCCCAGAACAAAGGAAGTTTCACTTACATCCACAGCTCTCTTAATAAAAGGGATCTGTGTGCCACTGTCCAGATCTTCATTAATAATAAGCCTTCTAGCCCACTGACCTGCCCTGACAACACCACTACCATGAATTAAAACCATCAGTTTCTGTGGATTTGTCAAAGCATCCTCACTCATAAAGATAAAACTCTTTGGTTCACTTTCAGTGGCATCTACCTGTAATCAAAAAAAATTAAATAATAAATAAAATGTTTCTTGGTCAAACATACATACAATGAGAAAACAACTAATGACTACTACAAATTATTAAATGATTATTACAGAATTATTAAGAAAAACCTTAAAATAGAAGAAAGATCTAGCAATCACATATTCAGTGAACAAGCAATACAAGACAGTAATTTAAATATAAAAATATATAAAATAACTAAAATATGAATTTTTACATTTTATTATTTATTTAGTATTGTATTTCCATCTTAAATTGAAATAGCTAATTTTAAAGGCTTCCTGTAGTTCAGATATTATCCAACTGTTTTTTTTTTCACCCACATTTACAATCCACTGGAGCAGCCACTACTATACTAATCATCAATAAATGAAGAAGCTGCATTTAGATAAACTTAGGTTAAAAGCTTATACTGCATGTCGTCTCTAATTCTATTAACTGAAGATATTGCACCTATAATAGAAAAAGGAAAATCCTAACAGGCATATATAGCTAATACTTTATCTAAAACACTGTAAACATTCAGATTGCAAACTCGGATGTGCACAACAGAATCCTGTACATTTTGACAGCTTATCTATGCAGCAGTTATTTATGGTTTACTAATGCACAGGTGCTCAGTTAGATTTCAGAGATACAAGAGATATTAAGAAAAGCCAGTTTCTGAACCTTTCATGACATACGTACAGGTATTGTACATCAGTAACAGCCGGTACTCGGATGGAAGCCATATACAACCAGGTTAAAACCAGAACTGGTAACTAGTACTGTGTCCTCCACCCACAACCTCACATATAAAGGTTAAAACCAGAACTGGTAACTAGTGCTGTGTCCTCCACCCACAGCCTCACATATAAACTAGTACTGTGTCTTCCACCCACAGCCTCACATATAAACTAGTACTGTGTCTTCCACCCACAACCTCACATATAAAGGTTAAAACCAGAAATGGTAACTAGTGCTGTGTTCTCCACCCACAACCTCACATATGAACTAGTACTGTGTCTTCCACCCACAGCCTCACATATAAACTAGTACTGTGTCTTCCACCCACAGCCTCACATATAAACTAGTACTGTGTCTTCCACCCACAACCTCACATATAAAGGTTAAAACCAGAAATGGTAACTAGTGCTGTGTTCTCCACCCACAACCTCACATATAAACTAGTACTGTGTCTTCCACCCACAGCCTCACATATAAACTAGTACTGTGTCTTCCACCCACAACCTCACATATAAAGGTTAAAACCAGAACTGGTAACTAGTGCTGTGTCCTCCACCCACAGCCTCACATATAAACTAGTACTGTGTCTTCCACCCACAGCCTCACATATAAACTAGTACTGTGTCTTCCACCCACAGCCTCACATATAAACTAGTACTGTGTCTTCCACCCACAACCTCACATATAAAGGTTAAAACCAGAAATGGTAACTAGTGCTGTGTTCTCCACCCACAACCTCACATATGAAGGAGCAGTCTACATGCTGCCTACTGCACCAGCTCATCACTCCAGCAATAACATATCAGCTATCAAAGTTAGAACAGCACACACATACAACTCCACAAAAATATCTGGAATTAAATCTAAAATTTTAAAATCTAAATTTTCCCAGTCATTCAGAATGCACAGAAATAGAAAAAAGTAAACCTTCTCTCCTTTAAAAACAGCATCGGTCTCATCATGTGATTCTGCTATTTGTATAAACAGAACACAAACAACAACTGGATTAGTAGGGACAGGATGGGTTGAGCGTAAGAACAGCTACTACTGTTCCGTAAAACTCTCCATGTCTACAACTGACATCTCAACTTCACCATGAATTCTCTAGTTCCTTTCACTGTCTTATTCTCCTTCATAGCGCATGTGGTAATCAAACACAATGCATTCATCCGTAGACAGACAGACAGACAGACAGACAGACAGACAATGATAGATGGACGAATGGATGAATGGACGGACAGACGGACGGATGGATGGATGATAGATGCATGTGCATTCATGCACATGTGTGTCTGGGTATGTATACTCATCCATCCTCTGCTCTCCACATTACAATGTAATCTAAGAAGAAGTAACATTTGTAATTAATATTAAGCTATGTTCTCTGTCTAGAACAGGGCCTAGCCTCTTTTTTTCCCCAAACAGGGTTTCTTTGTATTGCTTTGGAGCCTGTCCTGGAAATGGCTCTGTAGTCCAGGCTGGTCTGGAACTCACAGAGATCCGCCTGCCTCTGCCTCCTGAGTACTGGGATTAAAGGCGTGTGCCACCACCGCCTGGTTAGGGCCTAGCATCTTATAGGTACTCAGTCAATAAAGAACAAGCTTTTGAAATATGGACTGTTACTATTGGTAATGATGTCCTTTAGATGCAAAGAGTTTAAATAATTCAGAGTATTAAAATCTAGAGTACATAAACTAAAGAAAATCTAAACATAAAAAATCAAATATTAAATGGGCTACAGATCTGAATAATGAGTTCTCAAAGAAGACATTAAAATGGCTAATATTTTTAAATGTGTTAAACATCAATAGCCATCAGGGACATGCAAATTAAAACCCTGTCAATTCTATCTCATGCCAGTCAGAATGGCTGTTATTAAGAAAGCAAATTTCAATAAATGCCATAAAGGATGCAGTCAGGAACACTTAATCACTGCCAGTTGGAATTCAAACTGGTACAGCCACACTGGAAGTTAAAAAAAAAAAAAAGACTAGAAAGAGAGACAGCATAGGGCCAAACTAGTCCTTGTCACAGTCAGAAGGGTTCTATATCCTGCTGTAGGGACACCAGCCTGCTGTGCTTAGTGCTGTCCTGTTCACCATAGCTAGGAAATGGAACAGCCTACGTGTCTATCTGGGATAGATGATAAAATATGGTATGTAGAAGGACAAATGGCACAAGCTGTCTCTCATATGGAGACCACAGCACTACATCTTTAGATTTATGTGTTTAACGTGGAGTACCTGTAGAAGTAGAAAAGTAGGAAGAGACAACTAACTAAGAGGGAGGATTCCTTAAGGGAGGAGAGGTAACAGAACATAAATAATAAAACACAGAGAGTCCCAAGGGTGGAAATGTTTAAGGAAGATGGGCTGAAGATGGGGGTACAAAGTTAAACAAAGTGAAAGGTAATTGGAAATTAGTTTTAATTGGTGTATAAAGGTTTATAATATTCTTTTAAAGAACTAGGGGGAGATGCTCTGTTTGGCCAGATAATGTTTATAAAAGCCTGGGGTTAATACACAAAACTGCCAGTGACAGACATGAAATACTTCCTTATGAAACATTTGTCAGAGAATCCCTTTGAGTCCTTAAGAACAAGACAGACTTCTGCCATTTATTCCCCTCAATTATCCATAAGAACTAATTAATAATGTCCAATTGCTGAAGACATGACACTGCACTCATTACAAAGTACAGAATAACCAAAGAAAAAATGAACTGGGAGCTTCCTCCCTGCTGTCTAGGTCTCAGAACCCTAAAAGGCACCACTGCACAAGCTCCTGGGGAGGAAATGGCATTAAACATCTTAACCAGATATGAGCCCTATGTACTATAGGCAAGATGTGCCCACTGGTGTATTAATCTCTGATTGGATCTGAGGTCTCTTCCACGGGAGTAAATTCAAGCCTGGTAATTTATAGAGCCAGATGCTGAGAGGGTCTTAAGCCTTGGGGTTTGGGGAGGCACTTACTACTGTTGCACAGCTATACTGACATGGCCATATACTTACTGCCTTCTAAATACTTATACCCTCAGACAAATACCGCCCTCACTTTTAATCAGAGAAGCTGCCTTTGCAATGAATGGCAGTGAATGCATAAACTCATAGATGCTCTAGTTTTGAGAGTAAGTGGCAGCTTATTGCTCAGCCCTAAGAAGAACATTGACACCACCCTGCAGAGGTGAAATGGAAGGAATATAAGAGAGAGCAGACAAAGAGAAGGGCTGTGAAATGCAATCTTGTGAGAATGACAGAGTCATGACAATCACAATGCCACAATAGCTGAGGCTGTCTGCTCTGATCACACAGGTCATGGCATGTGAACTAATCATGCACCTACACAACTGTTAATACTGGTGGGTCATGGATGGAGGCAGCCATTGTCTTCAGGTGTGTGCTCAAAGGGAAGCCCACCACCATCTAATGCACAGTCCTAAACTGACGACCCCAAACAGTACAACTCTTCTGTCTGCCTCAGATAGGATCTTGTATAGCTACACTCTCCTCATGCTTCCCACAGAATAGAGGACAACCCTGAAATCTTTCTTAACCCCCCTGACTCCACCTCATGTGCAAGAATAACAAACATTTACCACCACTCCCAGCAATGGAAAATTACTCCTTTCAATTTCAGCATAATCTCTTTTAAAACTAGAAGAACAATTATTTTTGAAAAAAAATGCTATAATGCAACTAAAGAACTTTTGTGAGACAAAAGATGATAGCAGCCACGAATAAACTTTACTCAAGCAACTGAAAAGCAGAAAATGTGTGAGAGTCAAAGCATACAAGGAAAGACAACCATGAAGACAAACACTGCATAGAGGAATGCCAAGGATGAAATGGGAAGACCAATAAGTGAGTAAATCATTGGGCAACCCTGGTCACAGGAAACTAGAAAACTGACTGAATACGATAAGGAACATTTTGCACTGTATACATTAGTGCTAAATTTATATTCCAAAATATCTATATGAATAAAATTGCTACCTCAATAGTCTAGAAATGTCACACACAACAAGAGTGTGACATTGACTGCCAATCTGTGTTTCCCAAAATGCTGCCATAGTAACTGTGGGTGAGGGGTCCCTCTTCTTAAACAAGGAAACAAATACTTAGTTTATTCATAGGGAAGAGGCTTGGTAATATTCTTTCAGTAGAAATTTTATCACTTGATTCAGTTTCTGAAGATGGATACTTAAAGAATGTTAGTTTAATCCACTGATAACATTTGTATTTTCTCTTTTGACTATAATATTTCTGGCTCTCTGGAAACCTTTAGACATACTTTGGTTTCTTGATTTAGAACACAAACCACAATTGGCTATATTGAGAGTGCTTCATGATGAAGTTTCATTAATTTTCTATAAAGAAAATCTGAAATTGTATAGAGAAATTTTTACATATTTGAATTCTTCATTTTAAATTTAGTGTACAAATTAAGTGTTCAAAGAGAGAGTCATGTTATATAAGTTATGAAATTAGTAGTGTTTATTTTTGCTTAATAAATTTTCCCTTACTTTGCAAACTTAAAAAAAATGCTACTTTTCCTAAATGATCACGAAGAACAAATTGATACAGGTTGTTTGCTTGCTTACTTTGAGGTTCACCATGTAGCCTCAGGTGGCCTGGAACTCATTATGACTGTCAAGCTGTCCTTGATTTCACAGATCTGCCTGTATCTACATGTCTGTACAAAGAGGCCCAGAATTCCAGAGCCAGAACTGGGCTGTATGAAGGACAGCTGCCTGGCAGAGCTATCTGGGTCCTTAGGGAGGAATCCTGCTCTGGCATGATGAGGTGTGGGCATCTACCCATTAAGTTCTAGGATGAAAGGAATGTCCCATGATATCTAACTACAATGTACAGTTTTTACAGAATAAGAAAGAAAGTAGGCCTGAAGCCAAGAATTCAGACTTCCCCTAGAACAGCCATACTAAATGTTAAAAAGATGCTAAAATTTAGGCTTCTGTTATTTCCTGAAAGAAGCTATGTTTCAAACTAGAACAAGAGATGGCTTATCTATGGCATGCAATGTTTTCTTTATTATTACCTTACAAGTACTGAAGGGGTCTACAACTTAAGACTTCAGTAAGCACTTACTGAGCTGAGGGAATTGATGAATGAAAACCATTATTATCTATCAAGACAGATTATCTTTAGAAGCTTCAATGAAAAACCATTTTTAGTGGAACTATGCAATCAAAGGTGAGAATCTAAAGAATTAAGATATATCCAGGCTCCTCAATAACATGACCCAAGATATTTAAAAAGCTCACAGAAGTTATCTATATGCAAGGTTTTATATATTAAGTAAGTCAATTTCAGTGTCGACTGAACTATTAAATGATAAAATAAAAGAGTTGTCAGGAACAGCAAAAATTATCTAATATATTCCAACCAACATTTTACATATAATATTACCACTTCTTCATTTTAAAAGCTTAACATTCATGATGTAAATTAAAATTACATATACACATGCATAATTAGAAAGCCACAATTATGCATGTGTATATGTAATTTTAAAAGAAAGAAGGGTCTGTGTATATTGAATTGTTTAGATAGAGGAAAGGGACAAGAGCAATGTTATTAGATTATAAACAGAAAAAATGATAGAAGTTCTGTTTAGAATTTGAGTCTAAAAACAAATCCCAATATATTTCAAGACAGTGTTGCTTTGTGTAAGCCTGGCTCTCCTGGGCCTTGCTCTCTAGATCAGGCTGGTCTTCAACTCACAAATATCTACCTGCCTCTGCCTCCTGAGTGCTGGGATTAAAGGCGTGAGCCACCACCACCCAATTTAAAAATTTCAAGTTCCCAAAGAAAAGGGTACAAAATGTCTCTTAGTCTTCTGATAAGGAAGAAACAAATGGTATTAAAATAACAACAACAGGAGCCAGGCTGTGGTGGTGGCGCACGCCTTTAATTCCAGCACTCAGGAGGCAGAGGCAGGCAGATCTCTGTGTGTTCCAGACCAGCCTGGTCTACAAGAGCTAGTTCCAGGACAGGCTCCAAAGTCACAGAGAAACACTGACTCAAAAAAAAAAATCAAAAACAAAAACAGAAGTAAAACAAGGAAAGCCAGGAATGACTTTGGGAATGCAGAGAAAGCAAAGCATTCCATGCAGAAATAAGGGTGCCGCGGGCTCAGTAAGAGCAGTGCAGGCTGCTGCTCCCGATGGCAGGTGCGGTCCAGCACCTACACAGCCACAGCTTTGGTAGCTCCAGGTGATCTGATGCCCTCCCTCTTCTGGGCTGTGCAGGCACCAGGAACGTAGGTGCATAAGCATATATGTAGGTAAGACACTCATTAAAATAGAAAATTTAAAAAGAAACTTAAGGGAAAACAGTGTCAAAGAATCAAACAATACCCAAAGAGTTAATGACTATTACAATGTGAAGCACACTGATTTTTATGAAACAAATAGAAACATTCAGGTGAATTGAGATAAGGTAAATGATAACCCTCTCTGCCATCTTGTTAAAAACAGACCAGCTTACACTGAGAGCATTACTTTGTAGAACAAGTGCTGAGGAGTAAAGTTACCTACAAGCAGTGAAGTGCCGGCATCCACACAACAATACCTTCAACCCACAAGAAACAATTTCCTCTGAATTGAAAACCATTTTACATGGAAAAAAGCGTTTTATTTGGAATAAACATTTTTGAAAATTGGACTTACTGGAATTGATACTTTTTGCAAGTGGCATTCCTTTTCCAGGAGCTCATAAACATATTTTGTGATGATCTAAGGAGAAAAGAAATAAAATATTAAGGTCCAGTATCATCCATTATCAAGATAGATTTGTTTTGATAAATTCTTGACAGTTATTCCAAGTAATTATCTCTTGAATTTCTCCTTCCAATGTTCTAGTGCCATGCAGACTCTTGCTAAGCAGTGTGACGTGTTACCTTCTGCTGTTGTGTGGAAGGCAACTAAGGATTAGAATGAGTTTTACATTCACAGAAGACACACAAGAGTTTCTCCATTGGGAATGAATATTCTGAAGCTTTTAGGTGTTTTTTAGAAACTGTTCTTCCAATAATGTCTCCGTAGATGTTATATGTAATGTAATTTCCCAAGGGACTGGAATCTCTGCAACCATTTGAGCAAGAAAGAAACGTGTGTAAGAAGTATTATGAGCAGAAAAGGAAAACCAATCTGACTAAGACAAGTGAAGTCAACACAGTGTTTGTGAGAGTCAAGAAAGACATCTACATCCCAACTCCTCAACATTTGTATGTGTTGGGTTACATGGTAATAGACCCACACAGATGATTGTTAAGGACCTTTGGAAAAAGATTTACTGGGATTAACAAGGAAAGTTATAGAAGTATGATGTGTTACAGAGATGGCAGGGTTTGAAAGTTAAGGTTTCCTGCGTTTGAAAGTTAAGAAGAGAACAGACCAAGAACTATGTCCTCTGGGGACCTGTAGTTGGCAGCCAATATAAACATGAGAGTGCAGTGTGATCTATGTGGTGCCAATAACACAAAAACAAGGATACCAATTCTTTCTACCCTAAAACTGATTATTCTGACTTCTATTGGACTTCTGATCCACACAACTACATGACAATAAATTTGTATGGCTTCTAGCCACAAAACAAATGGTAGTTTGTTAGAGCAGTAATATGAAAAATATTGGTAGGTAATAAGCATGGATAGGTAGACCTGGAATAGGAGCAAATATTTAAAAGGCAGTTTGAATGGTCATTCTGAAAGTGTTTCTCCTCCCAAAGAAATCTGTAAAATATCTCACATACTAATTTCAGAGGGAACCTATGTCAATTTTTGTGAAACAAATTGAGTTTTTAAAATAATATTAAGATATTGATTGCTTTGGTGTCATATCCAGTAATCTAAAAATATTCTTTACCCTGCTTTCCTTAAGGAGGTTAAAACTCTTATGTACACATACTCATTTTATTTCAGAGTTTCATAGATGTATGTGAAAAATGACTGGTAATAGTCATTTCAATACCAGTAACATATTAAACTATCCAGTTACTAGTCTAATAATATCTTTATACTTTTATATGGTAGCTAATGTTGTGTTCCCTATAGTTTCAATGGAAGACAGTAACAATATATTCTTGAAAGAGTACTAAAACCTGTAAATTCAGAGTTAAAAGCATATATGAAGCAACACAACAGTGACCGATCACTTCAAGAGAAATTACTTAGATGAGATTAGCTAAAGTAACTAGTTTGACATTTGAAATCTTCAATGTATCTTTATAGATAAAGAGACAACAAAACAAATTAAATTTGCATGCAAATATATGAGACACAGTTTGACAAAACACAGTTAAATTTTTGACAATTAAACCTTCTATCGATATAAATGATAGGTCAAGAAATAATTCCTTATTTTCACATTATAATTCAAATACTCTAAATTTGTTTATATTTGGGTTACAGGGCAAGTATCTGCTCTGGAACTTAGCTATATTAAACCATATAATAAGATCATTTATACACTAAAAGAGAAATACTGCCTGTGATGGACAGTTTTAGTTGTCAGCTTGGTTCCATATGGAATCAAGTAAAACCCAAGTTGCTAGAAACCCCTGTGAGGGATTTTCTCCATCAGATGAAGCAGGAAGGCCCATCTTAAACAGGGCCATCCTCTGTGGCAGCCCACATAAAAGGATGTAGAAGAAGGAACTGCTTTATGTCTGCTTTCCCTCACTATTGCTCTCATATTTGTCTATCATGTTGCTGTGGTCAATATTAAATATACCCTCTTCAAGAGTACAATAGAGACCATGAGCTTTCCAAGAAAGTTCTATGACTCCAGCACCTGATGGAGACTGCCAAGACAGCCATCACAGAGAAGTGAACACCTACCAGATTCTCTGCTATTCCACTGGTGTGAGATAGTATGATTGAACTACCAAGACTGCATCCTATAAGCCAGTCCAAAAGTCCTCCTTTAATGTACACACTCATTCTATGTGTTCTATCCCTCTAGAAAACCCTACCACACTACCTAACTTGCTTGCCCACTTTCCTTTGCTCCCTAATTCCTGTCTACAGAAGAAAGAACAGGAAGAATAGATTGAAACCATGTATGTCTAAGGTAGTTCTTTCTGTTGAGAATATTGTCCTCTACCCTAGTTGCCATCTCAAGAGAAAGACCACATCGCAACTATTGAAGGACACAGTTTCCCGGCAAAATGCCCCCCTGGACATGAGAGAGTACCATTATTTAACATACTGGTCTGATATCATCCATATCTGTTAAAATTAGTCAGTTCTGGACACTGTGATGAGGTTGAGACCTTCTTTGAATATTAAGGATTTCTTAAGATGGGAAAGGAGTTTTTCTCAGTGTCTATTCTCTCTACATTTTTGGGCAGAGAGAAACACTGCCAGTTTAAACATATCTTTTCTAGTTGCTGAGTCAGGAGTTTGAAGGAACCATTCAGGATTCACTCATTGCTTTCCATGTTACATATGACTGTAGTCTGCAACTTAAAAAACAAAAATATTAGATTTTAAAGAGATGAAGTACTGTCAGAATGTCATCAGTGTTCAAATATTAGCTGGAAACTGTCTAAAGGTGGGAAAAAAGGATTAAGATACTAAACACATTCTAAAATTGTATCTTTCTAATAAGAGATAGTAAAATGTCTAGCTTCCAGCTAGTACATAAAGAAACAAATGTAGTTGCTTGGAAACTCAGAAAAAAATACTGAACAAACTCAAAGCCACCATTTTTTTGGCTCCGACAGACACTGGGCACATAGGACACAGCTTGCCTGAGAACTAGAGAGAAGGGCAGGTAGTGGAGGGCAAAGCCCGGATGAAGTCCTGCACTGAGGCAGAAGCAGGGAACAAACACCTCTGAAACTCTAACAGGCTCACGTCCAGAACCTCTGTCTGGAGTTAAAAGCTAAGAATGGCCTACCTGTGGGGATGGCAAACTTGGGTTACCTCCAGAAACCCTGCAAGCCTACACCATGCACCTAGTCGCGAGTCTTTGCTGATTCTCCAAGGGAAGGGGAAGAACACGTGTTAAATATTCTTATTAAAACATAATTTCAAGAAAACTACTTTAGCAGAGCCAGACTGAGAATAGAGTAAGGATATGCCTGACCCACATCCCTTAAAGGACACAAAGACAACCAGGGAAATAAAGACACCAGAGTAAAGATACCAAAGCTTCACCTCAGACAACCCAGTGGCAGCCAACAGCAGTGCTGTGACAATTTGTGTTGAGAGTGAGCTTGATCAGATTTAGAGTCACTTAGGAACCAGACCTCTGGAGGTGTCAGGGAGGGAGTGTCTAGGAAGTTGTAACTGAAGCTACAACATCCATGCTGAATACAGGTGTCACATGCCATAGGCTAACGTCACAGACTGAATAAAAGGAGAACATGAATTGAGCGCCAGCTTCTACCTCTCCCGTCTTCCTCATTAGAGACACCATGTGACTAGTCTCACTCTACAGTTCCCAACGCCACAGGTGCTCACTGTCTATGCACACCTTTGCTGAGACATGCAGTAACTTCAAACTGCAAACCAAGGGAAACCTTCCCTTTCTTAAGTTACTTTTGTAAGGTTTTTGTCAGAGCACTACCTCCTAGCTAGATGAATGCAAAGTCTCATTATTAACCTATGCACCTCAGTACATAATATTAGACGTTTAACAACAAAATTACCAGCCACACTAAAAGACAATAACCACCACAACAGAAAAAGAAGAAAACAAACACACAAACTACACAGTCTGAAGATGAAACCCGTTTTCATGAAGAAGGAATCAGGATGAGAAGTGACTCAATCTTGACGCTGATGCTAGAATTATCACTGAGAGTTAGAAACAATTATACACAATACACTAATAGCTGGCTGAGAAAAGTGGACAACATACTAGAAGACATGGGTAGTGTAAGAAGATGCACAGGAACCAGGAAATGTAGAGCAGTGTCTATAAAAAAAATGAATGCCTTCAATGAGCTCTGAGCAAACTGATTTCAAGCAAACAATCACTGATTTTAAAGTATGTCAATGGAAACTTTTTGATTTTAAATACGGGGGGAAAAGCAAAATATCACATAATTGTGGGACAACAGCAAAAAGAGAAACTTTTGCAAAATGATAATATAAGAAGCGACAAATGAACCACTTAAAGAAATAATGAGTAACAACTCACAGAAATCTATGACAGTCAGGATGGATCCAGAGAGTGCAGAGAACAGAAGGCAAACTATTACAAAAACAACAACAACAAAACCTACCTAGTCTTTGCACACTGTGCACAAAATCAAAAACAGAATTCTGAAAGATGCCTAGAGGTGCGTGAGGATATTTTAACAACAACGGCCATGCAAGAAATAGAGGAACAAGGTAGGACACACAGTACTTAAAAAGGGGAAATTATCCATTAAAAACCCTGAATCCTATAAAATTATTCTGAAAAGTGAGAGAAATAAAGCCTTTTGAACAATAAGGGAAAGGGGACAACACCAGATGAGGCCACATAGATCACTCTGATTTTCTTACAGACCACCAGAGTTGTGAGTAGGCAACCTCCTAACATGGCACACAGGACATGGTTCTACACCTAACCTTCCCTGCTGTACTCCCTGCAATGTGAGTCAAACTTAAGCTTTCTTCCCAAAGCTCCTTCATGATCATAGATACAAGAAAAGTAATTAATACATTACCCATTTAGTAATACTCAGATACTCATCTTCAGTTTTATACATATAAAAACATCAGTTTATATAAAAGTAA